ATGTTAAATAATAACTAATTTTATATATTTTTAATCGCCTTACTTGTTAGGTACTGGCGCTACATTTTCTTCAAACAGTCTCATCGCACACCAGCCACATGCTACTTCACTTTTCTCGCCGGTGGACTACAAGAAATATAAAAATACAACACAGGGAGGTTAAACAAAGACTACTGTTAAATCTATAAATAATGGCAAACTTGACTTTCAAGAGAAGTTTAACGACGGTATGAATCGGCGTAAAGGAAGGACGAAAAATCCTGGCTGTACTTGTGAATAGAAGGGTCCAAACACACTGCGTGGTACAAAACAATACACGAACATAAAAAGGCGATACTAAAAAGAAACGAAATTGGAACAAGACAGGTCAAGATTGAGGAATGTTACGATGGGCTGTAAAAGGATCTTCCACATAGATTCAACTCAGCATCCATGACATTGTTTCTTTAGACCACAGGTAACTTTAAATGCTACAGCTGATGTCCGACAACTTGAACCCGCGGTAAAGCGAATCTCCCACTAGCTAGAATCAAAATTGGGTTTCCTTGGAAATGCTTCTAAAAATTAACGCTAATTTTACCCTGGGTAACTCGAACTTCTTGCTAAGTCGACATAACTGTTTATCTCTTCAGGTCATTTTCTTTATAAGTTTACCTTCGATAACTTGAACCTTATTTGTGAAAGTCAACGAGAATGACCCAAAGCTCCCTAGAATAAAGGACAGAATATGATTGGCTGTAAAAGGCTAGGGAGTATTAACGGACTGCTTTTGAAAGAACAGTACATCGTTGCAAGTCTTTGCTACAGTAGCCCACCATAAAATTCTTCTACTGCTTTGTTCTGCGTAGTTTATTCCCTTCAGATCTGTTATTAATTTCTACGTAAAAGTATCGTTCACGCGCTGCTCCTATTTCATAATAAACCTGATTGAAACGCCTGACYTTTTCTATCCTAATTTTCTGTCATTTAGTCTTTGCCAAACTCGTATATTCGAATTATGACGTTAAAAGCTTGTCGCCCTGTGAGTGAACGAGAAAACTGAGGAAGACCAAACCTACTGAGCAAATTCAGCTTTAAAGTTGAATGGTATACATGTGGTGAAAGCAAAGTGGCACTATGACTGGCCAAGATTTGACATCTCTTAACATTGTGAAAGTCAAAGCAACCAGACTTGTCAGATTGGAAGTTTCTCTTCGAAATATTACATTTCATGCAAAAACTTCCAGTCGCACAAATTGGTTAACGCCTATCCAAAAATGTAGGTAAGAAAATAATACTCACCGTTCTTCTGTAAAGCATGTTCAACCCAAAAAGAATAACCAGGAGAAAGAAACGAAGATCAGTAAAACCATGATGTCGACATACACATTTAGCTTCGTAATTGTCTGGTCAAGTTTCGCTGGACCATTACTGATTAGTCTGATATCTCCTCTACACGGTTCTATTTGGTGAAAACTACAGAGGCAGCCTCAGCCAGTATCCTACGTTTTCTTCTCCCCGACCCGACTGGGTGCAACATCTTATTGATCCTTATTCAGGACGGGGTGTTTTTTCTTATGCAGACCGCAACACAAACATCCACTCGTCAATAAAACCATTAATACGACGCCACACTGCAATGCGGCAAAATTCACCGCCGTTGAACTGAGTAAAATAACTCGGTTTTTTGGCGAAAACAATATAAACAGTA